CTTCCCTTAAATATTTGAGCTGAAAATGTACAAGTAGCTAATCCTTAATATTAAAAATAATAAATTATAAGGGTATTATAATTAGAAAATTATTAATATAGAGTATTAATAATGCTCTTAGCTTCGTATTATTGAAGAAGTATGTGCTGTTGCTGACCGGTTTGAAACCCAACCTTATTAAGATGGGAAAAAGTATTTAGAATTAGTAGAGAGGACTCTTCTTAAATCTATACAGCGCTCGTCGAAATAAGTAAATTAATTTAGTCTTCTTATCTTTTAGTCCCTTTTCGAGACTTATTGGCTATTTAATATAATACTTTTTACCTTCGGGTATTAAAGTATTTAGAAACGCTGTATTAAAGTTAAATTGTTAATATTCTAAATTTAGAATTATTATCATAGTTAAAAATATTTTTATATTAGTGGCGTTGGTAATTATAGCGTAAATTTCCTCTAAATCCTAAGAGCCCTATTCGAAGTTACTATATATTATTTATCTAATTTTGGGATTTTTTATTTTTTATTTTAAGTTATCTTTTTTATTATAAACTCATTTTCTTGGTAAAACTATTATATTTGGGGTTATTAGAATTAAGGTGTAAACTCCCCTATTCTTTAGCACCCTAACCTGCTTTTTTATAGTTAGTTTTTAGTAAATTTCGAAGTTTCCTCGTTTTCTTATTTGGTTATAGTTTTTGGGAATATTCTAGTAAGCATCGAAGTCGTATGTTATTTTAACCGCCGTTAAATATAGTAATTTGATATTTTATTAAATAATTCCCTTCTTTTATAAACTATAGTAGAAAGAAGGAATTATTGGATTACTATATTTATTTTTTTAAACCGTACGGTTACTATCGATTACTTTTATTTTATTAGTTATATTGGCTAATATTAGTGCTATTCGTTTTCGGGCTTTACTAGAGGTGTTATTTCCGTTATTTTGAACTTCTGGTTCCGATATTAGAACTTCCGGTATTATTGTTGGGATTTTTAATTCCGGGGATATTTGGTATTATTTCGTTATTGGAGCTTCCGCCCCCGAAGATATTTAAATTTAATTTGGGAATATTTTGTTGTCCTCTGTATTTTTTATTATTAATTTCCTAGTTAGAGGATTGGGTATTAATTATTGATATAATTAGTTATAAGGAGAGGGAATAGATATTTCTTTATTAAGGTTGTAAAGGTTAATAAAGAATAAATTTATAAACAATTTATTAAATAGTAAATCTTCCTCTTTATATTCTATTTCGTCCCTTTTAATATTATTTAATAATTCTAGTATATCTTTATTATTATTAAAGGATTAAAACGATAAGCTGCCTTCTTCTTCGTTTTTGCTCTACCGATTATATAATGCTCTATAGTATTGATTACTATAGTTACTGTATTGTATCCTTTATTAGTATTGGTGTATTTCCTTCTTTGCTTTTTAATATTGAATTTTCTTCTATTAATTTGTCCTCCGGTCTTATAATTGGGTTCGTTAGTCCTATAAGTGGATTGATCAGGCTTATAGGAGTAGTTATCAGTCTTAGAGATGGATTCGTCAGGTTTATGGATGGTGTTATCGGAATGTTAAGAACGAAGGCTGGTGTAATATTTAGCGACGGCGTGGGTAGGGTGGTCGTTTTTGGCGGTGCCTTTTGGGTAATACCTAAAATAGTTTTAGGCGTAAAATCTTTTTCTTACTCTTTTTATTCTTATTCTTCTTATTGAAATAATGATTTTATTAGTTAATTCCTTATTATAGTTATCTAGACTTGCTTTTTGCTTTCGAGTACTTCTTTTACCTGTTCGATAGATTGATTTGAGAATATAATAGTATAGTTAAGTTTCTTTTCTTCAGGGCTTTCTTTAGGAGAGGTTTTAAAGAATTGTATTATATTCGCTTTAATTAGTTATTTGAATTCTGGATCTTAGATGAGGAAAATCCTTTTATTAAAATTGCTGTATTTTATTAAATGGCTTCACTTTGAGCGCTTTGTAAATTTGTTTCCTTGTACCCTTTTTTCTTTCTTAATGTAATAGTAGGCTATATAATAGTACGTGCGAAGGTGCTTAATATTGGGTTTGGGGTTTAGAATGCTTACTACTCTGCTTAGAACTTTGTATGGATTAATATAGTCCTTATTCGATTTCGTAGGCAGTAAATTCATTACCTTAATAATAGAATTAATAATTAACGGTTATAATTCGATGGGGATATTGTATTTAAGAATAATTGCCTTCGTTTTCTCTATTATTACTCTTTTAATTCTTTCCGGTATACTATTTATTTATAGAATGTATATTAGGGTTTTTAATATTTCAATACCTTTTTGCCTTCCTTAGGTTACGATAGAATTGTTTTAAAAAGTTTTAGAATTAAAATTAAATTTTATATTTTTATTAAAATTTAAGACTTTTACTTTTAGTTTAATTTGAAGCTCTACCTACTTCTTCTACTTTTTAATAGCTATTAAATTATCCCTCTTTTCTTTAATTATTTTAATTTAGTAGAAATTATTTATTATATAGATAAAGTAAATTATATATTTATAACCTATATAGCTAGTAATATTATAACATTATATATCGATTCTTATAGATTCTAAAGGTTTTATCGCTACCGGGTTAAATATTTTATAAATAATATTGGTTAATTTACTACGTAAATAAATATTATATTCAGCTTTAGTATTGTTAGTTAGTTTTACACCGGCGTTTTTATAGGCTTTCAAGATTTAATCCTTTCTTATATATATTAAACGTCGGTATATTGTATTGTAATTCATTGTTACTATTAAAGTTAAATTGGGTATTTAATTTCGGTATTTTTAATCGATCTCCTTTAGTAGCGAAACTAGTCGAACTTGTAGGTTATTTACTTAATAGTATTATATTTATTATCACTAATACGGTCCTTTGTTGAATAAGATTTTATTTATTACTATATCTTAAATTATATTATTATCAGCTAAATGAATTATTATTATAAGGTTAGTTAATATTAATGGAGAGTAAATTATATCCTTAATTTTAATAAGAATATAATCCCTTAATATTATTAGTAGCCGTAATTTAATTATTCTAATGTAATAAAATTTTAATAATTAGCCGTTACTTATTTAATAATTTACCAACTTTAATAAGGGGTATAATTTAGTAAATTATTTAATGTTGTTAAAAATATTTAACACGTAACCGCAATTAAATATTATTATATCTTTTTATATTAAATACGAAGTTGCTTCGAGAGTTTATTAGACTTTAACGAAATTAAATTGAACGTTATTACTATTCTATATATATTTAGAAGTAAGCGGTTCTAAATTTGTTAAGAATTCTAATCAAAATCCTCTAAGAAGTTATCATTAAAGGATAGACTATTTAAGTTGAATAGTAAATTAGAATTGATAGCAGAGGTCGCTGGGTTGTGGATATTGGAGCTATTGCTCGAAACTGCTGCCGTTGTACTAATTTTCTTCTTTTCTTTTATCGCTTTATTTTTGTTCTTTTATTTATCTGGAGCTTTCTTAAAATTATATTACTAGTAATTAGGATACTCCAGGGCGCGATAATAATTATATAGGAAGTATTTTTGGCCCTTAATAATCTTCTTATTATATATTTTGTAGGTAGTAGGGTTTTCATCGTTATTAATACCCTTAATCTTTATAATTTTGGTCTCGACTTTAGTAAAGATTATATTATTGAGAAACTTCTTAGTATTGGTTAAAGTCGATAATTAGTTTAGGAAAGTCTTGGTAGTAAGAAGGCCTTTATTTAAATTGGCGGCCTAGAACTTAATATTAATAGGGTAAGAATATTTAAAAATATTAAATAAGTTTATTAATTCGACGAAATTATTAATTTGGTAACTGATATCCTTAATATATTTACGAAGGGTTTAGTAGCGTATAAGAAAGGATTCGAGGGATCTAAAACAAGAATGTTTGAAGGTTTAATATTTATTGAGAACGTTATTTTTAGTTTCATTAGTTACATTAGAAATATTATCGCGGATAAGATTATATAAATATTTAGGATTATCGTTATCCTCGTCTTAACTATTAATTACGAAAACGGATTAAATAGTTTTGTTATTAATAATTGAATAAATAACGTTTTTAATTTTGGCATAGTCTATATATTATTTAGTTAAAGCCTTTATATCCTCCCATTTAATTATATTCTTTATTTTAAGAACGGGGATTGAAATTGTAATATAAGGTTTTAAGCCGAAGGAAGCCAATTGAATTCGTAAAGTACGAATTTAAATATTAAAAATAAATTTACCCTTAAGGGGAATTAAATTTAAAGTTATATTATATTCTATAGTATTATTCTACTAGTCGATATAGCCGAAGTTCACGGGAAGATTTATTAAGTTAACGGGCGGGGTTATAATTTTAGGGACCGAAATCTTTGGAATTGCAATCTTAAGGATTAATATCGAGGTTATAATTTATAGAAGTAAGAGAATTATTGAATTATTAAGAATTTTTATTCAGTTGTAAGCTAAGGTCGATAGAATTAATTTTATCGGCGGGTAGGGTTCGTAATACGTTAATAGAGCTAATTTTTATCGGCGGGGTTATTATAATACGGTGTATACGCAACGATTATATACTACGATGGTAACTTAATTAATTTTTTAGATACGCGTAAGGGTAGTGAAAGTGATACAATTTAGTATCATTAGAGGGTTTATAACCTTTTAGACTTGAGAGTAAAATGATATATAAATATATGTACTATAGAGAAAAAATTAGAATTAAGAGGGAAAAGAAATGTAGAGGGCTAAAATATAGGAGAAGGGTGTGAGGGCTGGACCTACACGACAAGACAAGGGTGGTGGGACAGACCCCACCCGACAACAGTTTTTGGCTAGGAAACGCCCGGGAAACGACTGGGTATGTTTCCCGGTTACCACCCAGTCCCACGGCATGCCACGGTCTGCCACCGGGCCAGTCAGAGCATTGCTGCGCGTACGGACAACGCACGGAAACGCAGTAAAGCGGCGTATTGCATGATACAATACCGTACCTTTCAGCGATACTGTGCTTTACCGCCAGGGGCCGCTTCTTGTCTAGTCCTACTTGGGCGTGTTTTGCAGCCATCAATTCCATGATTGCACCGTACCACCGTTCCATTGTTCCGTTTTGACAGGCATTCGTGCCATTCCCACCCCACTTGGCGGTCTCCACGGGATTCACTGCTCCTCCCGTCCCTGTTCCCGCATGCCTGTAGCCTGTCAGTGGACAGCTCAAGGCCGTCCAAGGCAGTCTGCAGTTTGGGGTTTCCCAGCCGTTCTCGTACCCCGTACCCCCCTGGGCTCCTCCCCGGCCGCCCAGTTCCCTTTTCTTTCCCTCAATCCCACTTCCCAAGAACGAGGAACCCTCTCCTCTCTTTCCTTATCCACACAACAGGACAACACACATAAGCCGTGTGTGTATGTCTGTCAACAACCAAGCTCGACAACAATTTCTCCGAGCACAGAGGAGGCAGTGATCGACGGGGATTGGTTGGAATTGCGGCGTTTTGGGTCCACCTCACCTATTGATCCCAAGGGCTTGGAACCGAATCATATCAGCAACAACAACCACCAACAACACGACTCGACCACCACTACTACTATACATCAACTCATTTCAGCAAAACCGACTACAGTTGTACCAACTCATCCTAAACAAACCGACCCTATGATCAAGAACAACGCCATCGTCATGAGCTCGGCTACACAGGGGGGACCCGTGGTCCCAAAGGAGGAGAAGAAGGGTTTCGGCAAGGTCTTGGCAAGAGTGAAGACGGTTCTGAGAACGAAGCGACTTTCGACCAGCGGCGCAAAGGCCGATCCCGCTGCTACCGCCGATAAGAAGGGCAAGGAAACCGCCAAGAGGTAAGGCCTATTTCTTTCTGGGACTGCTGGGGAGGAGTTGTTATTGGGCACGGGCTGGCATACCGTCCGTCAGCTTTGAGCTTGATCCACCCAATGCGATTGTTCACGATGCATTTCACTGTGCTTCACTTAATCACTTAAAACAATCTCTAACAAATGACTATAGCACCACCAAGACCGCCCCTGCTGCTGCTGCGGCCAAGGCTGTTGACCCCAATGCCCAAGAGGTCCCTCGCGCTCAGTTGTTCGAGGAGCGTGCCAAGAAGCTCGGTGAGCTCTATGGCTTGGAGCTGAAGCCTAGCGAGTGGCACTCGACTGAGGGCCATGCTCTCCGTGTTGAGAAGCCCATCAAGATGCGTGTCCACCGCAAGTGCCACCAATGCGACACCTCGTTCGGAGCTTCCAAGGAATGCTCCAAGTGCAAGCATACGCGGTGCAAGCAGTGCCCTCGTATCCCGTCCAAGAAGTCCGAGGCCGAGAGGGAGGAGAGCAGGAAGAAGCGCGCACAGATAATCAAGGACCGTGCCGAGAACGCCCCCATCATCCCCGACTGGAACCCGAAGTCCGAGAAGAACCTCGTCCTCAGACGTCCCGCCAAGACTGGAGCTCAAGATTTGGTTCACAAGAAGCCTCGCCAACGCGTGCGCAGGACTTGCTGCGGCTGCAAGAGCCTCTTCACTTCTGGAAACAAGACTTGCCAGGGATGCCAGCACGTCCGTTGCACGGAATGCCCTCGGGATCCGTAAGTTTACCGCACATTCATGACCTAAAAGGTAGTTTTGCTGACCCCTTGAACAGATCAAAGAAGGACAAGTACCCCTATGGCTATCCTGGAGACCAGCCCGGAAAACGCCAGGCTCACTTTGAATGCAAGTCCTGCAAGAACATCTTCGCCTCGGAGCCACATGTCACCACCTGTCCCAAGTGCTTTAACAGAGACTGCGAACGACTTGCGCCGAAGCGGGTGGAACCTCAACCCGATCCCGAAGCTTGGAAGAGCATACAAGCAAAACTTGAGGCGATGAAGCTCAAGTAACATGATACGTTTCAGTGTCCTTGTCGCTCTGTTAGGAGGGAAAAAAAGGAGGATATTAGAACACGATGAAAATGAAGGTTTAAGCGAAGAAAGCTGACGATATCGTTTTTGTTTTTTTCTGGATTTGTTTTGCTCTTTTTGTTTTGCTGTTTTTGGCTCGCTATTAACCAGACTCTTTCGCAAGAGATACATGCATTCATTCTCAAAGGCCACACAACCACCATCATTAGCATCGATATGAGACACGCGCATGTTAACGACTCTGATCCTATTTTATCGCATATTTCTCGTCATTCACTACGTCGGCGCTCGATTTGATACCCAACTTTACGGATCCTGCATATCAACTGCGAAATCTGGGGAGAGAACACAACCTGTCTGGTGAAAGGAAACAGCAAATGAATGGAGGAAAGGTGTCCCTCATAGGTTCCCTGTGGTCATGGAAGGGAAACACTAGGACACATTTCTCTATAGGTACAATATATCGAGCTGTTTCATAAAACAAAGTTCCTACACTCTTCGCCCATAAAGTATTATGATTGATTCCCGAACTGCTTCTATCGTCCTCCCATCCCACTGGGGCTCTATCCGTGATTTTCACCAAAAGTCACCACCCACTCCTTGTGATCCCAGGAACGCAAACGCTTCGCACACCACCAGGATCACACACCAGTAGCCTTTACCATAATCGGCGATCGTGCACCTGCAATACTACATCGCGACACACACACAGGCGCACACACAGACGCACACAACGAAAATTCCCAACAACCACTTAACAGTTGGCGGTTACCGATCCCGCTACCCGCTTGCCAGTCAAGTGTACTAATGCCAGCTAATAGACTTATTCGCCACCTCATCAACACACATCACACAAACAACTCCCGTCTTTACCCCTTACGCTTACGCCCTTTGCCCCCTTCTGTTCTCTGTCCACTCAGTCTCTCAACCGTTGTATGGGTACCACTTCCGAAGCCCGTAGCCAGGCAATCGGCAGAAGCCCCGACTTTTTGTGATTCTCACAGGAGGTCGTTCCGAGCTCAACCCGGAAGTGAGGCCGTTGGCCTCCGTCTCATTGGCTCTTGTTTCCCCCGAGCCGCCCCTCCTTTTCTGCTTTTTTTTTGGGGGGGGGGGGGGGGGGGATTTGTACCTGAGTCACTTTGCCTCAGTCTTGCTTGGATTGGTGTTACACAGAATGATAAAGAATGAAGCAAGCAAGAGAAAGGGGTGCTTGGGACTCGTTGCAGTTGGCGAGTCGGCGGCTCCGAGGAGACGGTTTAACTGCTACACGTGTACGCAGTAGTCGTGCTAGTGTAGTGTAGTGTAGTGTAGTGTAGCTAGGGCGGGACCGAACCAGCCAGCTGGCAACGACGCATGGAAGCACAAGTTGAAAAAAAAAACAATCCTTTCAGCTACTGGAATGAAATGGATTGCGATAGGCATGTGTTCGTTGTCATTGAACCCGACTCCGCTGCACTACCCGGCGGCCCCGTTGACCGTTACCGTTACCGTTACCGTTGAGTCTCCACGAGTCCCGACGAGTCCCGACAAGTCCAGTCCCTACCCGCTCAACATCCGCCCACCTCCACCGCCGGCCGAACCCGTCAACTCCATCAAACCCCGTTGAACCCGCCTGCCCGCCAGTCCAGCGAGCGAGACCCCGTTTCCTCGGACCCGACTCCCCGGGCCTGGGTCTGGGAGGTCTGGGTCTTTCGCTAGAGGTCTCGCGACACGTGTAATGAAAATGCCAATGATGAGACAGGACAATATTATTTGCGGGACGAGCCTCTGAGCGATAGACGGGTCTGGACTTGAGACTATTTGGTGAGCCCTGACAGTAGTCCCTGACAGTGATTCCCTGAAAGACAGCGCCGCTGCCCGTCCCGGAAGTTTTGAATAGGACCCGCGGTGTTGGTTGAGCTGTTGGTTGGAAGGGCTGCTGTCTCCCCTGCCGGGACATGATTATGACACGGAGCGAGACATGGAGCGAAGCGAGGGCGACCCTTTATACGAAAACCGTACGAGAACAAACACAGTCCTAAGGCTTATGGCCCAGAGTGGAAAGGATGGAATGGAGGGACTGGAGGTTCTCATTGAGTTTACGAACGGATGCTCGAAGGGATGGGGCAACTAGATGTACAGCTTGCTGTAGTTACAATACAAAATCTTCCGACCCGAATTGGAAGAGTTCATCAGGTTGACTTTGAAGTGTTGTGGTTATTCTTGGCTCCCGTCTTTGCGAAGATCATTGCCTTCCACGTGGAACGGTTCTAAAGTGGGATGGCAGAGATGGGAAAGGATCGTCGACTAAGCGGCGGGATGCTTGGCGGGTCAGTCGAAGGCGGCGGCGACGGCGGAGAACGACGGGAGAGCATCAAACGTTAACGACGACAAACTTGTGAACGTCGCCAATCCTTCTGTATACTGGAGACATCGAGCATTGCATTCTTGAATCTTTGAATTTCACCAACACCTCGTCAAAGTCAACCCAACCAGTGCCGTTGGAAACATTCCCGACGACCAGACGACGACAATGACAAGGCAAGGGTCACCGCCCGGTTGGGTCCTGTTGGCATGTTGGCAAGGGCATCTCGTGTTCACCGGGCTCACGGGCTCGCTCACTTTGATCCCTTGACCTGGCTTGACCTGGTAAGCTTGGCAAGCCTGATTGTCGGGAATGTCATGGGGAGTCCAGGTGAACTTCCCCTTCCCTTGCTCACCTTGTCGCTTTCGCTCCACATCTGGCAACCTGGCTGCTTACCTTGGCCAGACTACCGGATGACCGAGGCTTACAGCATTACAAATGCTTTATGGTGAATGACATGAATGATGCCAATAATGAATCCTGACTGTCAGAGCGGGGAGGGGGCGGGCAGCTTGGAGCTTTCTTTTGGAAAAAGGAAAATAAATGACTTGTCCTTGTCCTTGACCTTGTCCATGACCATGTCAGCCATCGCATCACGGATTGCGAACGTTTCAGTTCCCGTAAGAAAGGATGGAGGTAGCAGGGGAGATAAATCCGATATTATCTTGGCGAGACGGCCGCCCGTTGCTAGTGTAGTCGTCTTTATGTGGCTGTTCTCTCCGTTATCTGGGATGGAGTCATGGGAGAGTCTTGGGAGTTGTGGAACGAACGATGTTTGCTTGAAATATACTGTGGTGAATGCACTGCACTTTTACGAGATGCCGTCGGTAGCGAGGGTTAAAGGCCGACTGCCTACTCTCGGTGTGACTTCTGAGACCATCCAAGCCTCGGGCATGTCATCAATCCGTCAAGCAAGCGTGCTGGATCATCGGGCTCAAACTTCAAGATAACTGGAGGGTACCCGAGCCAGCGCCTACACACTCAACACCTCAAACACCAAAACTGGGAAAAGAGACGAACCATCACGGACAAATTACTGTCGAGCAACAGTCGACAAAACCTTGGCCAGACCCTTTTACCGCCTCATCATCATCGCATCAGTGATCATCACCCCTCCTGCCCTCCTGCCGTCTCTCCCAGCTCCCAAATCAATGGTCCGTCTTCCCATGTTTGCTTTTCGATTTTCTACCTTCTCTCTCTCGGGAAGCTCCTTTCTTTCCACCCCTCTTCTTCCCAGACTGTCGGGTATGTATGAAACTGAACCCGTATTTGGTGTAACGTCATGCGTCCCGCCCGTTTGGGTCGTTTATCGCTGTGCTCGTTTTGTCAACTTCCCTCACACCCACCCCCCGTCCCCATGGGGCTTATGTTTCCCACCCTTTTTCTTTTCTCCCCTTTCCTGCTCCTCATCTTCCTGCTTACGCCGCTCTTTGATTCTTTGTCTCCCTTTTTTCTACTTGTATACATACGACTTTTGACCTTGCCTGGCGTGGCGTTTCTTGCGCAAATCCATCTTTGGAATCGATGCTCAAGTGAAAAGAGGAACAAACAAGCCATCAACATGTCCCTGAGACAAACCACAACACATCTTCACGTCACTACTTATCTGACCGGCCAGCTGACGACAGGACCTGCAGCAGTTGGTCCCTATATACCTATGTCTATACACTTTCACTTTGCACAGTACTGTACGTTATCGACTTGAGACATACATACATCTCACACACGCACCGCCCGCTCGCCCGACAGACAGACATGTAGGCCGCTCCCTCGGTACCGTATCAAGAAACAGCGTGCAACAAAAGGGCGTCCGTCGGATACGGACATTGACGCCGAAAGGTAGGTATGTACACGTGTATGTGTGAGGTATGTAACGGAACGGCGAGGGAGAGAGGGAGAGAGAAAACCGAAGTCGGAGACGGAGACGGAGACGCAAAAACGTGTTCTCTTGCCAGCACTGCTTGCTGCTGCTGTCTGACCCGTCCGACTGTCTGCCTGTCTCTCCATGTGCTTGGTTCCTTTTTCAAACACACCTGAACGGAGGAAGGTGCTGCTGCTGACAATGCAATGGTTGGTGACACAGACAGGCGCCACACATAAACTTAAACACGACGTGACATTTACGAGGAGAAGAGCCAAAAGAAAGCTGGAAAGCTCGAAAAAACGCTGCACTGAGGATGTAATGCGTCTTTTCCCTTCGGGGTTTATATCGAAAGTAGTCGTAATGAGATTTCTCCTGAGAAGGTCCAAGAACTCCCAAAGATAGGTAAGCAAGTCAACGATAGCACAGGCAAAAGACGCGTTGACTTCTGGTGAACCGCTAAGATCTATCAAACATCTAGACGGGGATGTAGAACTCAAAATGATCAGATGGCAATGGTAAAGCCAACCACACACCACTACTTCTTGGAGAAGAACGACATGATGTTGCCTTGCCCCTTGGGCGCAGACTTCTTCGCTTTCCCGGCCGCCGCGGGTGGCGCCGAGCTCGCAACCTTGGGCTTCTGTTTGGAGGCTGGCGGAGCCTCATCCTCGGAGAAGGACTCCCATGCGGGTTCCTGTATGGTGACTGTAATTTTGACACGTCAGTATCCATCCATTTTAGCCATACAGTGGCTGGACTTCTGTCAAGAGTAAAACTTACCCAGGTATCCCTGATCATCCATGATCTGCTTCTTCTTCATAACCCTCCTCTTTCCGCGCCTCCTTCCATCCCCAGTGGTCGTCACAATCTCTTTTTCCTCCTCCTTGGCAGCCTCAGCCTTGGCCGGTGGTTCCTCGACGACGGGCTCTTCTTCCTCTTCCTCTGGGGCGGGAGAATCAGCCTTCTCTTCCATGTCCTCGTCTTCATCGTCTTCCATCATTCTCCTCAGCTCCTCCTCCCGCTCCTTCCTGCTCTTCCGCGAAGATGCCGCACCGGGTTTCGGCAATGGGACGTCGTCATCGTCTTCTCCATCGTCTGATAGGGCAACGGGCGTGTCTTCGGCAGCGGGAGTAGACTTTTCCGAAGTCTTCGCCTTCTTGGGCAGGGAAGCGGCCTTGGAGAAGGCTTGCATGATACCGGAGGCGGCAGAGGTGTTGCGCTTGAGTGATGGCGCAGGTTTCTTTGTGGCAGCAGCGGGTGCTTCGGGTTCCGTAGCCGGTGTAGCGAATTTGCTCTCCTCCTTCGACTTTGCTGGTGCGGCAGCAGGGGCGGGCGCTGGCGCTGGCTTAGCAGGTGCCGTCTTGGTGGGTGCTGCTTTAGCCTTCGACTCCTGTTTGACGGGCGCGGGAGCGGCAGCCTTGAGCCCGGGTCCCCTTCTTTCCCTTCGGCGTACGTGAGAGTTGACGATGGTACGGGGCCGGGGTTTCTTAGTATCATCCTTGATGGCTAGCGCACTTTGAGCGGCATCGACAAGCAGCGTAAGGTCCTTGGCTGGGTGAGGTCCGACGCTGTACACATGTATCGATGATATCGTCTCGTAATCCTTGAGGACATCTGCTAGTCGGTCTTCCTGAACAAGTGCGAGGGTGTATGATGGCACTTCATCGTCGTCAACCGGGTCGGCGTCGGGAAGCGAACTAGGCAAGTCGATGTCCATGGCGTTGCCATTTTGATGCTGCACGGACTTCTGGATACCATATAGCAGGTAGGTGGCATAGACAGATCCGGGCTTCTTGGTGCTCTGGGTCTTGTGAAAATCATAGAGCATTCTACTTGGTGTAAGCCATTGCTTCTTGGACTTTTTCATGGAGGTGTAGAGAAACTCGTTTACTTACTGTTTGGCTACATTGGGATGTACACGCAGGGCCCGACTTAGCAAGCGATACGTGACCTGAAATTTGATCTCATGTTAGTCGCGGCTCTTCACCTTTCAGTTTCAATACCATCATCGACTTGTAATCGGGTGGGTGACCTACCACCTTGTCCTCGCTGAGGACATTCTCAGCCAGGTACGTCTTGTAATCTTCCATGGCTGGAATCAAGCTGAGGAGTGTGAATTGGAAGCAGCTGATCTCGGTAGCAGTGATATTTTTGGCTTATCGCTTCTGGAAGATTCAAGTGAAAGTTATCAAAAGAGTGAAATGATGATGAATGTCTGAACTCCGAGGCGCGTCGTCGACGTGATTTGCCCGGCAGGCAACCCAGCGCTGCCGCGAAGTCACGTTTGCGGCAGTGGTTTTGAGTGGCTGTGGCCCCTGGTTCCTGCTGCAGGGGGAAAGCAGCGCCCAAAGACAGACCAGCCGAAACTGACTGACGGGCGCTTTGACAGGCTGGCTGACAGCTGGCATGCACCCTGACGGGCCACGAGTTTCAGTCTGTCTCCGTCATTCGGTACCTTACTGGCCCAATGTCTAGCTCGAACAGCTCCCCCGTCGTGGCATTGGCATCGCGAATCTCTAGCGGCCGAAATTTGGCACCACGAATCACAACCTCGAGCTTTGCAGTCTCTTTGCTCTTTTTGCAGCTGAGCTTTTGTTGATCTTCTTTGAAGTATCTTGAGGGCCGCTGTGACCCTTTTCCTTCGTTTCAACCAGCTGTTTTAAACTCTGAATACGTCCAGGACAGACCATTGAAGCCCCATAACTTTGTCGACATCCAACTGCTGCGCCATGATGCGCCCGACTTAATATCCACGATTCGCATATACAACAGAGCTCGATATAATAATTGTACAAACCCGCACATACGTCCATCCTTAGACGGCCATTTGTTGGCCTCAACTCGACTTCATCATGGCGGCCTTTCCACGGTTCAGGTTCCTGGCCATCGCCGTCATCTTCCACTTCGCCTACATCTTTTCCATTTTCGACATCTACTTTGTCAGTCCCATTGAGACGGGCAATGCGCTTGTTCAATGTTGAAAGATCCCCAAATCGTAATGCGCCAGCGGACCGACTGGTTCTGTTCGTAGGTAAGTGGGCTACTCCGAGTCCAATGTGTTGCGGCCAAGCGCTAAACCACATCATCATTCTTCAGGAGACGGCTTGCGCGCCGACAAGGCACTCCAGTCCCACCCCGAACCATATCCCAAATCCGATGCCGATCTGACTCCAGACCTCTTGCCCCCTATTTGCGATCAAAGATCTTGGAACAGGGAACCTTTGGTGTCTCCCATACGCGTGTACCGACCGAATCTCGACCCGGCCATGTTGCGCTCATCGCCGGTCTGTACGAAGATGTGTCAGCCGTCACGACAGGATGGAAGTTGAACCCGGTCAATTTTGACAGCTTGTTCAACCGCAGTCGGCATACGTGGAGCTGGGGCAGCCCGGATATTCTACCAATGTTTGAGCAGGGAGCTGTCCCGGGGAGGGTCGACGCCTACACGTACGGACACGAATTTGAGGATTTCTCGTCCGACGCCACCCAGCTCGACCTCTGGGTCTTTGACCATGTAAAGGACTTCTTTGCTGAGGCCCGCAGGAACAAGGCGCTTGCTGAGGCGCTTCGCCAGGACAAGATTGTCTTCTTCCTGCATCTGTTAGGTTTGGATACTACGGGTCATTCATACCGCCCTTACTCAAAGGAGTACCTTAACAACATCAAGATTGTGGATCAGGGCGTGAAGGAGGTTGCTGAGCTCTTCCGCGACTTCTACCGCGATGATAGGACTGCGTTTGTGTTTACCGCAGACCACGGCATGAGCGACTGGGGAAGCCATGGTGATGGTCACCCGGACAATACGCGGACCCCCCTGATTGTTTGGGGTTCAGGGGTTGCCAAGCCTCAACTCTACCCAGGTGAAGTGGCGCCCGGCCATGATGAGTACTCTGCGGACTGGAACTTGGACCACGTCAGGAGGCATGATGTCGCTCAGGCCGATGTTGCTGCTCTCATGTCCTACCTTGTTGGCGTCGAGTTTCCTGCCAACTCGGTCGGCGAACTTCCCCTGTCGTACCTTGCTGCCGACATCAAGGAGAAGGCCGAGGCGTCGCTGGTGAATGTGCAGGGTATCTTGGAGCAGTACCGTGTGAAGGAGGAAAAGAAGAAGGCCACTGAGTTGAAGTACAGGCCGTACCAGCCGTTCGGTGACAACGGCCTTTCCCCGGAACGTCGCGTTGCCGACATCCGCCAGCTCATTGACGCCGGCCGTTACGAGGAAGCCATTGAAGAATCAGCTGCCCTTATGAAGGTCGGTCTTGGTGGCTTAAGATATCTCCAGACCTACGACTGGCTGTTCCTGAGAGCGCTTATTACCATCGGTTATCTGGGCTGGATCGCGTATGCTCTTACAATGGTCGTTGATTTGCACGTCCTACATAGTCGTGTGCGACCTTCGAGAACGCTTAGCAAAGGCCTGTTCTTCACATCTGTTCTTGTTGCCCTCTATGCGTCCTTCACCATCTCAAAGTCACCCCTCACTTACTACGCCTATGCCTTCTTCCCGGTCTTTTTCTGGGAAGAAGTCTATGCGCGTCGCGAAAGTGTGGCGGCAGGCCGCAAGGAATTGCTTGGCCATATCAACTCGGGTGGAAGTGTTGCTTCGTTCGTGCTCAACAGCGCGCTTTATGTTGGCGTCATTGAGTCGCTTGCCCTGGGCTACATCCACCGCGAGATTCTCACCATCCTCTTTGTGCTGGGTTCTTTCTGGCCTTTCACCCACGGCCTGTCGTTCCTCAAAAAGCATGGTGCGCTATCTGCCACTTGGTTCCTCTCCTGTATCGCCATGAGCACGTTCACGCTCCTACCAGCGATGAAGGCAGAGAACGTCCATCTCATGTTCGTACACACACCCCTTGCTGTCCTCTCCCACTTACTAACAGATGTGTAGTACGATCGGAGGCGTATTGATGGTCGTCATTGGCCTTCTTTACCTTATTTTCGAGGACTTTGTCCTCGCCGACTTCTCATGGAACGCGAAGCCTACTTCCAGGAACCACTTGTCTAGGTCGCTCGTCGGTATCCAAGTAGGCCTCACTGTGCTTTCCATCATCATCACCCGCTCCAGTGCCCTTTCGCTGCAGGCCAAGCAAGGTCTACCTCGCGGCAACCAGATCATTGGCTGGGTTACTCTTGGTAAGTTTGCATGCTCCTCAGCAGCTGGTGATCGTTCTCTAACACAAGCCCAACAGTCGCATCACTCCTCATGCCCTTGGCCTACCGTTTGCAGCCCAACAACCACTACATGCACCGGATCCTCGTCATCTTCCTCACCTGTGCCCCGACCTTTGTCATCCTCACCATCCTACGAAGGTCTCTTCTACCTCGCCTTCTCCGCCCTCCTCGTCAGCTGGGTTCGCCTGGAACACGCAGTCCAGACGTTCTCCTCCAAGGCGCCACAGACCACCACCACCAAGAAACCAACCACCGAATCTCACCTCCCAGCCCCCTTCCGCCCCTCACACTCCACGACGCCCGCGTCGCCCTCTTCTTCTTCATCCTCCTGCAATCCGCCTTCTTCTCAACCGGCAACGTCGCCTCCGTCTCCTCCTTTCTCTCGACTCCGTCTACCGCCTCATCCCCATCTTCGACCCCTTTTCGCAGGGCGCCATGCTGATCCTCAAGCTGATGATCCCCTTCGCCCTCATCAGCGCCAACCTGGGCATCCTGAACAAGCGTCTCGGCGTGGCCCCTTCGGCCCTGTTCATGGTGGTCATGGGCATCAGCGACATTTTGACGCTGTACTTTTTTTGGGTGGTTAAGGATGAGGGCAGCTGGTTGGAGATTGGAAGCACGATTAGTCACTTTTTATTGCGAGCTTATTGTGCGTGTTTGTGAGCGCTTTGGAGCCGGTTAGTGCGGCGTTTATTGCTGGGGTTGAGGTTGGAGAGGAAGGTGAACTGAAGGAGGAGGGGAAGGTGGCGGAGAAGGTGGTGGAGAAGGTTAATGAGGTTGTTGAGGGGTTGGTTGGTGGTGGTGATAGTTGAGTTACGTTTGCAAAAGGAGTTGTTAGTGTATAGATGGTATCTAATGTTCGATATGTTGCATAGGGTCACAAGAAAAGGGGGAACCGCCAGCTAGTAGTTGGATAGAGTATATATGGTATATACATACAGCAGATGTGTAATAGTTTCCTGTGTTCGTCGTCACGATATCATTTCAACTTCTTCAAGCATATTATCGAACACTTCGTCAACACGCGATGTACTGAACCTGACCTCGATGATTTCACCAAGGAGCATAGCCACATCGTTGAACCCGCCGTTTCTTTCCAACAGACGTACCTAACCTATGCAGCATTCTACATGACACATACAGCCTTTGTCATCTTCCACTTGTCTGTCCACCAACCTCCAACCAGTATGCCATATATCGCAGAGCAAAGACATGGTTGAATTTACGTTGATCTGTGTATACCTACCTACCTAATCACAGTGGGAATTGCCTTGTTTGGGTACCTCGTGATTTGAATTGTTTCCCTTAGTGTTTCTTTGCGTTTGAAGAATCATAGAAGCCTGCTGACAGGTGCGTATGTCTGCACTGCGGTTCGACTACATGTACCTATGCATGCATAGGGAACGGACGTCATCAACAAGAGATATACCTACACCATACAAATAGGCCGAGCCAAATAACAGAGAATCCACTCCCAGCGAGATGTGCGTTGATTCGGATCAGGCTGTGGAGGATTGGTTTTTTTGTTAAGCCAGCGAAGCCGTGATGAAAACAGATTTGCGTTGTTTTGCTTCGCCTTCGTTTTAGGTGCGGGTCCCGTCTTGGTCCATGATGTCTGTTTCTTCACGCCATCACGCATCTCATCTTCAGGCTTTATCGAGTGCTTGAGCGCCACAGATTGTTGTACTGTGATCAAATCCCGCGACTGCACCAATTACATAAAAAATCATGGGCTTGAATTGATCCCCCCCCCCCCCCCCCCCCCCCCCCCCCCCCCCCCCCCCCCCCCCCCCCCCCCCCCCCCCCCACCCCCCCCCCCCCCCCCCCCCCCCCCCCCCCCCCCCCCCCCCCCCCCCCCCCCCCCCCCCCCCCCCCCCCCCCCCCCCCCCCCCCCCCCCCCCCCCCCCCCCCCCCCCCCCCCCCCCCCCCCCCCCCCCCCCCCCCCCCCCCCCCCCCCCCCCCCCCCCCCCCCCCCCCCCCATAACCTACTATTTCGACAAACCATCACTTAACGTTGTTGTTGATGTTGTTGTTGATGTTGTTGTGATGTTTTGTTGATGTTGTTGTTGATGTTGTTGTTGATGTTGTTGTTGATGTTGTTGATGTTGTTGTTGTTGTCCTCCAGAGTCCAGCAGGAAGTAGTTGAACGACAACAAGCCCTTACAAAAGCGAGGGTTAGGGTCCCCCCAAACTCCGACGGGCTCTCGAACGGTCGAACCCCCTCTCACAAAGACGGGACCGGAATCGGCAGTTTCGCTTAAATCCCGCTGTGTCTCCACCAGACCACCACCGGGCCACCGGCCGCCCGTCCCCACACTCGGGTCGGGGGTCTTGGGAAGTCCCGTCCCGGTTCGGCGAGAATGCGGGGAGCAGCTCTTGCTCGTTCTGGGCACAAAAGCAGCAGCAGGGCTCAGGGGTCGTGTAAACAAATTCCCACTTGAATGAGGAGATGTGTGTGGGACTTGCGGAAGACTTTTGCTGACAGATCAAATGAAATCGTTGAAAGGGAAGGATGGAGTCCTGGGAGGGGAGGTGGGAACGGCCCGACCATCGAACGGGGACGGAAGACGGACGGTAAGACGGGGGGATTTGACAAGATAAAAGACACGCGGGGAGGAAAAAGCTTGTGTCGATTAATGGTGTGGGCTGTGTGGGTAGGTGTCGATGCTGGAAATTAACAACATCTTTACTGCTGACTATCTTTGTTAGTGAAACAAGGGAATCAATTCAATTTTGTTGGATGCGGTACTCGGGGACCATTGAAGTTTACTTCAGAGGTGCGTGGTGGTATTCCAAGGTGAGAACCTGGGACATCTTCGCGATCATCTTTACTTGGCGATGTCTCCCGAAGACTGTACCTACTTGGTGTCATGGGTAAGTTTAATAGGCGGGGTAAGTACCGAACCTTACACAACCAGGTCGTTCCGAGAATAGGAATGTAATATAATATTACGAATATCCAAGGATCCCTTCTCAAGCCGACGAAATTTTATCCCGGAGGACAGAATTGATAAACGAACTTCCATTTGATCATAAAGATTAGACGTAACGCCGTTTCTAATATACAAAACACGTTCTTGGATGAAAATAGAGAGAGCAAGACGTATGTTCCAAGACGTCAAAACCCGGCCCCATTTCTTGAATAACTAACAACACCCCGAAACGAAATTTTGGCTGTAGTAGTCCGTGCCAGGTACCTGACAGGGGGGTTTTTCTTTTGCTCGGAACCACAGTATGTGGTCCTCCAATCATGAACTCGGAGACTTTTCCCCGGATTTATATACGTCCCAGTATGAGGATTTTCCTGGGGAAGCCTTTTAGTGTAGAGCCAAGGACTTCGAGATCGAAAGACAATGGAAGATCGGACTACGTGTGCCCCTGATAGGCGCAGGTGAGAATGCGGGAGGTCGGACGCTAACGGGCAGCACCATTCCCTCTTCTCTAATTACTTACATGCTATGCTGGTGATGCTTGCGAGCTTTGCGAGCTTGCGAGTTTGTGGTGGTGGTGTGAAGTCGGTTGGTGTTAACCAATTGCGATGAACCAAGACTCTCTTGGGACCTGGGGCCATCGAGGTACTCGAGGATAACCACTCGCCCGAACGGTTGAAAGCTGAAGCTGAACCGTAACGAACTGCGTGAACTGCAGTGCTGAAGGATCAGGTCATCTCACCGGGCAGCAGGAATATCCTTCTCCAAACCGCTGCGGGGTAGCTGAGCAAAAAGGGATCGTTCTAGGGCATCTGTCAGCGAAATACCTAGTACGGGAGCGATGATGATTATAGTTGTGATGGTGGACATTGTGGAAAACGCCGTGTTCCCGT